TATGACTCTCCTCCGTAGGTCTGCAACAAACGGGAGAAGCGCCTGGCGGACCCCACCCTGGAGAAGTACGTGCTCACCGTGGTGCTGGACACCATCAACGCCTTCTTCAGCTCCCCGTTTTCAGAGAACAGCACGTCACTACAGGTGAGAAGCCCACACGGTCAAGCATGGCCACTCTAGCTTGCTCTCTTGTGGAGCACAGCCTTGCTTACACGAGCACGGGAAGATGCTGCAAAATGCAGTACATTGGTTTTCCACTGTGTAACAAAGGGCCCCAAATGTGTGCTGGGAACTACAGTGGAAATGATACAAAGTAACCGACCCGGAGCAAGGAATTGAGGGGGGCTGGCTGTTTGAGGGGTACAGTCCACCCTGGAAGCAGGAGCATGGGTGGCTGGTCACACCTCATCCAGTCAGGAAGCAAAGAGCAGTGAACTCTGGTTCTCAGTCACTTTCTCCTCCTCCTCCCCGCGGAGCCAACCCATGGGGGCAGCTATGTTTAGGGTCGGCCCTCCATGTCTGGAAACTCCATGGACACACTCTACACTGACTCCACACAATCCCATGGGATTGGCAAGATTAATACAGGGATCTCTCAGTCAGTATAGCTGGTGTGTAGGGCCTGGGGTGGTGAGGTGCGTATGGCTGCTACCCCGCACAGCAGCAGAGCTGGCTAGCTGGCAGGACCACTTAGAGAGCCCTTGCACTGTCCATGGTGCTGGGCGGGCAGCCCCGTGACTCAGACATCCCGTGCAGGGGCTGACCAGAGTCACTGACAGCCACGGCAGAGATGATTTTCAGCCTTAGCCAGAGTCCCAGGTCTCTGGGGAAGGCTCAGAGGCAGAGGCACTGCATAAATTATAAACACAGAGGACGAGAAGAAACCAGTGGAGGTGGCAGCCATGGGTTCAAGGCCAGTGTTGGCACCAGGCTGTCTCTGAGAAGAGTAAATTGAAGGTTAGGTACACAGGCATAGTGCTGCACGCCTTTAATCTCAGCAGAGGCAGAGGCAGGTGGATCTCTGTGAGTTCAAAGCCAGCTCTACACAGTGAGTCCCAGAACAGTCAAACGCTACATAGTGTGATAGTGAGGCCCCATCTCAAAAAATAAATAAATAAATAAATAAATAAATAAATAAATGGGAAAAGTTAGATCCAGGGAGGGTAAAGTTGCTTTGATATACATGTGAGACAAGGAGACTGAACATTTTTGCCTGTGGCTGTGTGTGGTGGCGCATGCCTTTTCTCACAGCACTGAGGAGGCAGAGGCAGGTGGGTCTCTGAGTTCAAGGTCAGCCTGGGATCAAAACAAATTTTATGTGTCCCCTCACCACCCCCAGCCTCAGACTAGCTGTAGGATGGGATAAAGCAGAATTTAATATAGAATATGTTAATATATTATTATTATTATTGTGCGTGTGGGCACTGGATAAGGGGTGAGCATATGGAGGTGAGGCCCCTTTTTCTACCCTTCCCTACATTCTAGAAAGCAAACTGAGGTCACCTTTACCTGTTAAGCTATCTCGATGGCCCAAAGTGTATCTTTTTTTTCATGATTTTTTTTTTTTTTTTGGTTTGGTTTTAAATTGTACTTTTTGGTTTTGGGGACTGGGTCAGCTCACAGAGATCCACGTGCCTCTGCCTCCTGAGAGCAGGGACCAAAGGTGTGCATCGCCACGTTCAGTCTTTTCTGTTTTTAAATGTCTGTCTGTCTTGTCTGTCTGTCTGTCTGTGCAGGCATGTGAGTGCCTGAGGAGGCAGGAAGAGGGCACTGGGTCTCTTGCAGCTGGAGTTAAAGCACTTGTGAGTGGCCAGATGTGGGTGCTAGGGACTGAACTCAGGCCCTCAGAAAGAGCAGCAAGTGCTGGTAGTCTCTGAGTCAGCCTCTGGGTTTTTGAATCATGGAAACACAGCACCATGCTCACCTCCCTCACCTCCACTTCAAAGGAAGGAAAAGCTGACTAGCATGGCTGTGAGCCCAGGCTTGGGCTGTGGAGTTCTCACACGGTGGCCCATAAGGTCAGGGAAGGTTCAGTGCTAAAGGAATTGGTGATTTTGTCTGGACCAAAGGCATACCATGGTAGTCAGACTCCTGGGCCTGTGCCCCTGCTTGGGGGTGTGTGGCTGAGCTGCCTCTGGGTTCTGTCTCCTGCAGACACACCAGACAATTGTGGTACAGTTGCTGCAATCCACCACACGGCTGCTCGAGTGTCCTTGGCTGCAGCAGCAGCACAAGGGTTCTGTGGAGGCCTGTGTCCGCACCCTCGCCATGGTGGGTGAGTATCCACACTGGACCTTTCCCGGTGTACCCTGCTGGGGACACCAGCCACATAGCGACCACCTTATTCCTGGGCATGAATGTCACCCAGGGTGGTTGCCTCCAGCTAGAGTTGCTCTTATTTCCTTTCGCTGATTGTGCTTTGGGAAGTGACCCAGGCAGAAGGTGGTACTGGGTTCCCTGTGTGCTGGTGGTCGGGCAGAATGCCCCATAGGGGCTCAGGCGACACTCATCCCTGCCCCGTCTATGGAAGCCTGAGCCTGGCCCAGCCATCCATCCCACCCCGTCTGTCCTCGGGCCCTGCTCCCTCTTGCAGCCAAGAGCCGGGCCATCTTGTTGCCCATGGATCTGGACGCGCACATGAGCGCTCTGCTCAGCAGTGGGGGCAGCTGTGCCGCCGCAGCCCAACGTAGTGCTGCCAACTATAAGACGGCCACGAGGACCTTCCCTCGCGTCATCCCCACCGCCAACCAGTGGGACTACAAGAACATCATTGAGAAGCTTCAGGTGGGCATGGCTGCCTGTTCTGGGGAGGAGGGGGCTGCTGCCCCTCAGGCAGTGTATAGTGTTTGGGGGATGGGATATGGTCACACCCTGGTCATCCTGGGCCTGGCGGTGACCTTGCCCTCCCTCCCAGGACATCATCACGGCCCTGGAAGAGCGGCTGAAGCCTCTGGTGCAGGCTGAGCTCTCGGTGCTGGTGGACGTGCTGCACTGGCCCGAGCTGCTCTTTCTGGAGGGCAGTGAGGCCTACCAGCGCTGTGAGAGTGGTGGCTTCCTGTCCAAGTGAGCAGGGAAGCCAGGGGTGTGGTGACCTGGGCCTGGGCAGAGCACCAGCGTCAGCGAACCAGAGGGGCTAGGGCTACACTGAGGCAGGTGGCCCCTTCAGCCTCTGCCTCTGCCCTAGGCTCATCCGTCACACGAAGGGCCTCATGGAGTCCGAGGAGAAGCTGTGTGTGAAGGTGCTGAGGACCCTGCAGCAGATGCTGCTGAAGAAGAACAAGTATGGCGACCGGGTGAGTGTCTACACCACTGGGCTGCAGCAGGGACTCAGGATGCAGGACAGGGGTCACCAAAGGTCTCGTTTTCACCTTCCAGGGCAACCAGCTGCGCAAGATGCTGTTGCAGAATTACCTCCAGAACCGGAAGTCCAGCTCCCGGGGCGAGCTCCCTGACCCCTCAGGCTCTGGTCAGTACCGTGGACCAGCCCTGTCCCGCCCTGCGTGGCTGGCTCCTGCTTCCAGCCATCGTCTCTCACACAAGCTTCTCCCCAAGGCCTGGACCAGGACTGGTCAGCCATCGCAGCCACCCAGTGCCGGCTGGACAAGGAGGGGGCCACCAAGTTGGTCTGCGACCTCATCACCAGCACCAAGAATGAGAAGATCTTCCAGGAGAGCATCGGCCTGGCCATCCGCCTGCTGGACGGAGGCAACACCGAGATCCAGGTGTGCGGTTGGAGCAGTGCGCCCGCCTTTACATCTGGTGGCATTGCGGCTGCAGGCCTGGGTGCTGGGGGCAAAAGGTGGTGGATTCCAGCTTCCGAATCTGTGCACCTGTCCTCGTGCAGGCCTGCCTTGTACCATCCCTGTCCTGTCCCACAAGTTCTACCATTCTGGCATCTCAGTGTCTGCCCAGGCCTCTTCCTTGCCGCCTCTGCTCCATCCTCCTCAGCTTTGGAGCCCAGCTCCTCTAACTCCCATTCATTGATTCACTCATTCATTCATTCACATTTGCATATTCAACACTGAACATGTGTCACTAACAATGATGCAAGCAGCAAGCAGTCAGCTCTGAGATAGAGACAAATCCGTGTCCTCTTGGCACCAGTGTTTTGGAAAGGACACAGGCAGAACAGGACTTAGGCATCTAAGGGTCCCTCTGGCTGCAGTGTGGAGCAGCTCCTGGAGCCAGTGTCCAGCAGGACCTGGGCAGACAGCAGCCTAGAATGTCCCCCACCCCACCCCAGCACTGTGGTCACAGCAAGCTGGCCTTCCCCATTAACTGCCGGGGTACTGAGCCCATGCCTAGCCCCCATCTCAGGGTACCTGTGTCTCCCAGACCCCTGTATTGAGTGGTGGGCTCAGACTTGGGAAGTAGCCAGGATGACCTGCTCCTCCTGCTGCCTCCTCCTAGGGCTAGGATGGCACCCACCTACCACACCCAAGTTCAGGTTAGGGATTTTGAGGCTTCACCACGGCCACCCAGAGCCAGGCACAGTGCTAAGGCTGCACGCCAACCCCACTCCCCCACCCCTGCCTCCAGAAATCTTTCTACAACCTGATGACTGGTGACAAGAAGTCAGAGCGCTTCTTCAGGGTGCTGCATGACCGCATGAAGCGAGCCCAGCAGGAGACCAAGTCCACGGTTGCTGTCAACATGAGCGACCTGGGCAGTCAGCCGCGGGAGGACCGTGAGCCAGTAGACCCCACCACCAAAGGTTGCGCTTCAGGCAGACGGGTGGGGGGCCCAGGACAAGACACTCAGGGTAGGGAGGGGCTCCCAGGAGCCCCAGCCTTATCAAGTCTTGCCCCACAGGCCGCGTGGCCTCCTTCTCCATGCCCAGCTCCTCCCGCTATTCACTGGGCCCCAGCTTGCACCGGGGCCGTGAGGCGAGTGATCGCGTGCAGAGCAGTGAGATGGGCGCCTCGGTGCTGGTCATGAGGCCCATCCTGCGCTTCCTGCAGCTGCTGTGTGAGAACCACAACCGTGACCTGCAGGTGAGTGAGGGCCTGGCCCAGGCCTGCCTGGCCCCCACTTCCAGTCAGCCAGCATCCCTGGCAAAGCCACCGGAACTGACGTCCTCGAGGTGGGTATGACTGCTGTGCCACGCCTACCCTGCCTGTGCTTCACAGAACTTCCTGCGCTGTCAGAACAACAAGACCAACTACAATCTGGTGTGTGAGACTCTGCAGTTCCTGGACATCATGTGTGGCAGTACCACAGGGGGGCTGGGGCTGCTGGGGCTCTACATCAACGAGGACAATGTGAGCCTGGTCATCCAGACCCTGGAGACCCTCACAGAGTACTGCCAGGGCCCGTGCCATGAGAACCAGGTGAGCAGCCTCATGGTGGAAGAGGTGCTAGGGAAGGGGCTGACTGGGTGGGCTGGGCTGGGGCTGCAAGGTCACCCCGACTCTGGCAAGTCTGGCCCTTGCATCCACTGCCTCCTATCAGACCTGCATTGTGACTCACGAGTCCAATGGCATTGACATCATCACGGCACTGATTCTCAATGACATCAGCCCGCTCTGCAAGTACCGCATGGATCTGGTCCTGCAGCTCAAGGTGGGGCCCAGTGATGAGATCAGGCTGTGCCTGTGAAACGTGTGTTCATGTGTGAGTCACAAGGGTGCTTCGCAGGTGTGGCACTACACAGTGGTGCTGTGGGGGGGGCCTCTTCTGTGTGTGTGCAGGTTGCACTGGCTACATAGGGATACATGAGTGAACAGCATCACACATCTTGGGTCCCCCTGGGGACTTCCTGTTGGGGGGGGGAAGAGTGGGTGCCTGGGAGCTTGAGCATGTTTGCTCAGGGTGGGTAAGGCTGGCCTGCAAGTCTCAGCATACCAGTGTCAGGGAGCAAAGTCAGGAGGAGGTTAAGGAGCCATAACGGGGCTCTTCTCTGTACCCCTCGCCCCAGGACAATGCCTCCAAGCTGCTGCTGGCTCTGATGGAAAGTCGGCATGACAGTGAGAATGCAGAACGCATCCTCATCAGCCTGCGGCCTCAGGAGCTGGTAAGGAGAGGGCAGCGGGAGAGGACTGAGTGGGTACAGGGAAGGGGGTCAGTGCCCCAGGGATGGGCGTAACAGCAAGTACCGAATTGTTCCCTGCTCCCTGCCCCCTACCCCGCAGGTGGACGTGATCAAGAAGGCCTACCTGCAGGAGGAGGAGCGGGAGAACTCCGAGGTGAGCCCACGCGAAGTGGGCCACAACATCTACATCCTAGCCCTTCAGGTACCAAGCTGTGCCCCTGGCCCTGGCCCTGGCCCTGGCCCTGGCCCTCTGGTGTGGCCCTGGCCCTCTGTGGTGTGCCCCTGGCCCTCTGTGGTGTGCCCCTGGCCCTCTGTAGTGTGCCCCTGGCCCTGGCCCTCTGTGGTGTGCCCCTGGCCCTCTGTAGTGTGCCCCTGGCCCTGGCCCTCTGTGGTGTGGCCCTCTGTGGTGTGCCCCTGGCCCTCTGTAGTGTGCCCCTGGCCCTCTGTAGTGTGCCCCTGGCCCTGGCCCTCTGTGGTGTGCCCCTGGCCCTCTGTAGTGTGCCCCTGGCCCTGGCCCTCTGTGGTGTGCCCCTGGCCCTCTGTGGTGTGGCCCTCTGTGGTGTGGCCCTGGCCCTCTGTGGTGTGGCCCTCTGTGGTGTGCCCTCTGAAGCAATGCCAGAGCTGTGTGGTCTTGTCTTCTGCAGCTTTCCAGGCACAACAAACAGCTGCAGCACCTGCTGAAGCCTGTGAAACGCATCCAGGAGGAGGAAGCGGAGGGCATCTCTTCCATGGTGCGGCAGGTGTCGGGGTTTGGGGTGGAGTTGGAAGGACTGGTGTCTGCAGGACAGGGCTGTGACCTGAGGGCAGGAATGACAGTTCTGTGGGAATGTGAGATAAGCAAGGAGCAGGCCAGAAACAGAGAGCTGCTGTCCTCAGAGGCCAGCCTAGAACCAAGTGAACTTGGATCTGAGAGCCAGACTAGAATCTGTGGGTGGGGCTTGCAGCTGGTCTGGGGTATGGTGCTGTAACCATGATACAGAAACGAAAGCAAGACCTCACATCTGGGGCAGGTCTGGAGAGGGCACCAACTCCCAATCGTGGTTGAGTGAGCGAGGTCTGGGCTGGCTGACCGCTCACCCCTGGGAGCAGCACTGGAGGGCTGCAGGGCTAACCCAGTGCCCCCACCTCTGCCCCCAGCTCAGCCTCAACAACAAGCAGCTGTCCCAAATGCTCAAGTCCTCCGCGCCTGCCCAGGAGGAGGAGGAAGACCCTCTGGCCTACTACGAGAACCACACCTCACAGATTGAGGTAAAGCAGAGGACAGATTGAGGTAAAGGTGAGCTGGGGGCAGTGAGGGCCTCTGCCCAGTGTGACCAGGTGTTGCCCGACCAATCAGATTGTGCGGCAAGACCGAAGCATGGAGCAGATTGTGTTCCCAGTGCCTGGCATCTGCCAGTTCCTGACAGAGGAGACCAAGCACCGGCTCTTCACCACCACAGAGCAGGATGAGCAGGGCAGCAAAGTGAGCGACTTCTTCGACCAGTCCTCCTTCTTGCACAATGAGATGGAATGGCAGCGCCGGCTTCGCAGTGAGGACCAGTGGATGCTCCTCCCCTTCCTGGGGCTGCCCCGGGCAGAGGCTTTGTCTGGACTCTCATGCCATGCTGTCTCCTCAGGTATGCCACTCATTTACTGGTTCTCCCGCCGCATGACGCTGTGGGGCAGCATCTCCTTCAACCTGGCTGTGTTCATCAACATCATCATTGCTTTCTTCTACCCCTATGTAGAGGGTGCGTCCACAGGTGAGGCCGCCAACCCGCCCCTCCCTTGCATAGTGGGCCCTCTGCATGTTCCGGGGGGAGGGGCAAGCAGGACTCCAGAGACAGACAGGCTGGCCTCCTGGGAGATGCCTGTGGGTATGTATGTGTACCCACATGCAGATCTAAGTCAGAGACGTGCGGTGTTTGCAGCAGCTGGCGGGGTGCTGCGGGTGTACCAGGTCCTCGGGGAAGGCCCCTGGGCTCTGGGGTTCACACTGGGGCCACCAGGCCTTAGGCACCTTGCTCATGCTTGCCCACTGCTCCCAGGCGTGCTGGGCTCCCCACTCATCTCGCTGCTCTTCTGGATCCTCATCTGCTTCTCCATCGCGGCCCTGTTCACCAAGCGCTACAGTGTCCGCCCCCTCATCGTGGCGCTCATTCTACGCTCCATCTACTACTTGGGCATTGGGCCCACACTCAATATCCTGGGCGCCCTCAATGTGAGTGCTGTGAGGTCCTCTGGCCGCCCTGTCACCTGCTGGCCCCTGCCATTCTTTGTAGGCTAGAGTTGGGCCTGTTCTGTGCTTCTGTACAACTCGGGCAGCCAGGAATTAGCCACCTGATCAGCAGCCTTGAGTGTCAAATGCAGGGTGCTGGCCATGCGTCCCCCACGGGCCAATGCACAGGTAGATGTCAAACTTAACATTTTATTAGGAAAGAAGACTTTTCTAACCCCTCGCTGTAAGACTGGGGTCTTCTGAACATGAGCCTCAGTTTCCCCTGGGCTTCCCTTCTTTGATACCGCACCTCATGAGACCAGTACGGCTCACTCCATGGGACTAGCCTGAGCTGGGCTTGGTGGCAGGGTTGAGGGTTAAGATAGATGATGGGGTGCTGACCGACACTTCCTGCCCTTTCTATCCAGCTTACCAACAAGATCGTGTTTGTGGTGAGCTTCGTGGGCAACCGTGGTACCTTCATCCGTGGCTATAAGGCCATGGTCATGGACATGGAGTTCTTGTACCATGTGGGCTACATCCTGACGAGTGTCCTGGGCCTCTTTGCTCACGAGCTATTCTACAGCATCCTGGTGAGCCTGCAGCTGGGTTGGGACCAGGGGCTTCCAACCCTAGTCTGTCGCAAGCTTCCATCTGTCTCATACAGAGAAGGGACTCAGCCAGACTAGGCTTCCTATCTGCCCTGTGCCCACAACAACTCCACCTCCTAGAATCTGGGTGAAATGAGCAACTGTGTGAGAAGCGCTTAGAGTGCTTCCCTGGGAGTGCAGCATAAGAGCTGCTGGCCTTCCAGGGTGGCTGGTGTCCATCCGCTCACCTGTGACACCGCACACACCTTCCCCTGGGCAGTCTCAGAACCCCAGATTCTTCTAGAAACCTCCCAGTTTGCTCCACTCCAGCCTGAGCTCTGACCCCACGGGCAGGACTCACAGACGTGTTGTTCCTGCAGCTCTTTGACCTCATCTACCGTGAGGAGACGCTGTTTAATGTCATCAAGAGTGTGACTCGCAATGGCCGTTCCATCCTGCTGACTGCCCTCCTGGCCCTCATACTAGTTTACCTCTTCTCCATCGTGGGGTTCCTCTTCCTCAAGGATGACTTCATCCTGGAGGTGGACCGGCTGCCTGAGAACCACTCTAGAGGTCTTGGGAACTTCCTTTCTGGGGTGGGTGTATGGGGGTGACAATGACAGAGCATGCCCAGGCTCCCCGCCTTCTTCCTACACCGTTTGCATCCCTGTGCATGTTCTAGTTCTCTTCAGTCTGAGGGGCAGGCGGAGCCTTGGAAGCCCTTGTAGACCTGTCATTCATGTAGAATCTGCTGTCTGCAGGGGCTGCCTGGGGCCAGGCTCAGAGTCGCAGAGTCGCTCCTTAGCCATAGTGAGCCAGCAGGAGGGGTCATGTCTCAGGACAGACTAGAGAGATGCTAAGGTCAGACAGACATCTGCATCTCCTTGTGACTTTGTTCCTGTCACCTCCAGCCAGCACCCTGGGCATGCCACACGGAACTGCCACGTTTGTGGGCACATGTAGCGGGGACAAGATAGACTGTGCCTCGGAGGTCTCTGTGCCCGAGATCCTAGAAGGTAAGGCGGGGACACCTGCAGGATGGGGTGTGACAGGACGGAATGGGCAGCCCAGGTCTGAGGGTAACGACCACCCACAGTAGACGAGGAGCCGGACAGCACTGAGCGGGCCTGTGACACTCTACTCATGTGCATCGTCACCGTCATGAACCACGGACTGCGCAACGGAGGTGGTGTGGGTGACATCCTCCGCAAGCCCTCCAAAGATGTGAGCATCCCTGCCCTGCCCTTGCGCCCAAGTCAGGCAGCAGCTGGGCTCCCTCCATGCTGACCTTCCCACCCACTTGTGTGACTGCTTCCCACAGCCAGCCAGTTTCTGTGACACTGGGCTCACTGTAGATGCTACAGGGGACACCATGGTGACTGGTCTTGGCTCTGAAGCCTGGGAAGGTGTGAGCTAGGCATCAGTCTCTGGCTTCCTCAGTCCAGAGGGAGGGCAGGGTGAAGCAGGACACTGACTCAGTTCTGTGAGGAGCTGCAGGACTTGGGACACAGGGCTGCTGGCTGCCCAAGCCATCAACTCCCGTTGCTTGGGAGAAGTCAACTCTGGCTAGACAAAGGTTCTGGAATGTGTGCGACTTAGCATCCTGAAAGCTGACCCAGGAGCTCACAGCTGCCCTTGCCTTTAACCAAGTTAAAGGCCAAGACAAGCCCTGTTTTGTAGCAGGACAAACTGCCATACACGACAAACTTGTCAGGGCTTCCTCCTGGCTAGCCCTCTCCAAATGTCAGCTCAGGGCTTCCTCCCAGTTGACAGATGACATCTCTGCCATCCTTAGTCTCCCATGTTTCTCTGGGGCCTGGAGTGACCCCAGCCACACGGCCCCAGCTGAGCTGTGTCCTCACGGTGCCCTTCTGTGCAGGAGTCTCTGTTCCCTGCCCGGGTGGTGTATGACCTCCTGTTCTTCTTCGTTGTCATCATCATCGTGCTGAATCTCATCTTTGGGGTGATCATCGACACCTTCGCTGACCTGCGCAGCGAGAAGCAGAAGAAAGAGGAGATCCTCAAGACCACATGCTTCATATGTGGTGAGGGCCACTTCCTCTCCTGGCTGCGTCCTGTGCACTGCTGGAGGCCCCGCAGCCACAGCGCCCTAGTTCCAGCCTTGCTGAGCCCCCGCTGAGCACAAGGCAGATGGCTGCTTGCCATCCCAGGATGGAGGGAGCTGACCTGGTCTGTGCTGGGACTGGCAGGACCTGGGAAACCACTGCTTCCACCCCTTGGGCCTCCAGAAGAGGAACCTGAGGCCACTGTGGTCTCAGGCTTCTGGTTTCAGTCACTGCTCCTTTCAAACCCAGGGACCCGGCTCAAAGAGTAGGGATCACCTGCACCGCAGACTGTTGACCCAGCTAGTCCTGTCACCCCTGGGCTCAGGCAGCTGCTCTGCAGGATGGCTGGCCCTCCGTGGGCTATGGATGGCTTCACTTCCTTCCTCTGCCCCCAGGCCTGGAGAGGGACAAGTTTGACAACAAGACGGTGTCCTTCGAGGAGCACATCAAGCTGGAGCACAACATGTGGAACTACCTGTACTTCATCGTGCTGGTCCGTGTCAAGAACAAGACCGACTACACGGGCCCTGAGAGCTACGTGGCGCAGATGATCAAGGTAAGCGGGTACGCACCCCAGGCCCGCCCTGCCGGTCCACAGCCTGGGAGGAGATGCTACCTCTGCTGACCTTAGCCTGAGTGCTGACAGCTGCGATGCTTCTTGGGCCAGACATGGAGTAAGGAACAGCTGGGGGGCCAGCCCTTGGCTGTTCAAAACTCTGCTAGCTACTCACGGATTCGCTCTGTTGGTGTGAGGAGAAAGCCAACTTGCAGGGAGCCTGTCAGGCCTGGAGGAGCATGGTAGCCCAAGCAAAAGGCCTCAGGGTACAGCAGTGGTGGGACGTGTGGAGTAAGGAGACCCCACTGAAGAATGTTGATCTCCCAAGGACCACTTAGAAGCCACAGCAAGGGAGGATGGCTTCCTAAAGTCAGCACTGTACCAATCTGAAAGCCTAGAAAAGCTTAAAAATGCCAGACTTAGAGGAATTAAGTATAATCCTTCCAATTTCCATAGTCATGGCAGCAGTGAAGTTTTGTCTCGAGGGATTTATCTGTTGGTCTGAAAATTCACAGCTTGTGACAGGGAACCAGAAAACTGCTTGGCTGGTGCCCCTCCCTCCTGCTTCTTCTATCCTAGGAACTATGGCTTTCCTTCTCCGGCCATGTGCCAGCCCTCCTTAGCAGGGCTGGGCTTCCTGTCTGCCATCTGTGTAACTCTTTCCTGGGTGCAGGGCATGCATGTCTGTGGAAACAGAAAGGAGGAAGCAAGTCTGGGGCTTGGCCTTCCTGCACCTTCCTGTGGCAGAGAGGCAGTAAAAGGCTTACTAGTGGGTGGGGCCACCTCACCTAAGGCAGCCTGCTGCAGTGGTGGACACTCACCTCTGGCTTCCTTCTGCCTGCCTGGGAGAGCCCAGGCCCGTCCCCATTTTCCTGTGACACACTCCCTGCTGGCTTCCCTGAGCAATGCCTCACTGGTCCTCACCCCAGCACTTTGTTTCAGAACAAGAACCTGGATTGGTTCCCACGGATGCGTGCCATGTCCCTGGTGAGCAGCGAGGGGGAGGGGGAGCAGAATGAGATCCGAATCCTGCAGGAGAAACTTGGCTCCACCATGAAGCTGGTGTCGCACCTCACCGCCCAGCTCAATGAGCTCAAGGAGCAGGTGTGTCCCTAACCTCAGGGTCCTAAGCGTCTCCACCCATGGTCCGTGCTGCAGCAGTGAGGCAGGGCTTCCTCTGCACGTAGTGGAGCTACACAGACTAGCTCCACAGCCCCTCTAGCAGCCACCCAGTTCACCCAATCAAGGGTTTGACATGCTGAGGACATCCTGGGGGTCGGTCGGGGGTGGCCATCTGCCACCAGTGCCAAGGTGCAGCTGGGCCCTCGGGGGAAGATGCCGCCTTCACCACCTGACGAGATTCATTTAACTCAGATGACAGAGCAGCGGAAACGGAGGCAACGCCTGGGCTTTGTAGATGTGCAGAACTGTATCAGCCGCTGAGAGGAGCCGTGGAAGCCCCCACAGGAGAGCTGCTGCCCTTCCTTCAGGCCAGGTGGCCCATCAGCCTCCGAGGCCAGGTGCCTGCCCCACCTCCTGCTCTGCTGGCACTCCCTCAGGCCAGGCTCTGGCCAGCAGGGGTACGGCAGAGCAGACAGTCCTGCTTAGAGCCCTTGAAGACTCAGTTTACCTTAGTGCCTTAGAGGACACTAGGTCCTCCAGACTGCTGTGCCTCAAAGCAGTAACTGACAGTCCTCAGTGGTCCTCGCAGGGTTAGAAGCGGGCTGTCTCTCATCTCCAAGCACTACACTGTGGCTGTCCCCTGCCTTCCTCCTGCCACAGGAAGGCGGCAGCCTGCTATTAGCTACTTAAGGCTTTGAAACTTAACTTATTCCCAGCGGTCATCCCACCCCGTTGTGCCTGCTGGAGACAGTGTGCTCTGTCCACGTAGCCTGATGATTCAGGATGGATGGGTTTGTAGGCAAGAGCCACAAGCCCGAGGGACAAGGACTGAGCTGTGTGAAAGTGGTGTTTGTCATGTTTTACAAGTCTTATGTCCTGAGAACTAATGTGTTAACTGCCTTAAATAAATTAATAGACACCAGGTCCACCAATGGGCTCCACTTCTGCTTCCCACAGAGGTCACTGTGCCCTGGCAGCCTGGCCCCCCTCAGACTCAGGATGCTAAATGCCTCCGCTGTACTCCAGTGCCTACCAGGGCTCTGGTTATTTGACTGGCTCCACTGGGCCCCAGCCCCTGGGCTTGATTGACTGGGCCGCTGCAAGACCTCGAGCAGGACGTGACGCCTCACAGAAGGTGGCCTGTACGGCCTGTAGCTTCCACAGAACCTGCCTGTGCCAAGGCCACACCCAGTCCAGGCTTGGCTACAGCTCTGCTGTTGCTCATCCCACCTGGGCCAGAGTGAGCGAGCGGCTTGAGCTGTCTTCTGAGCCTGTGGGCAGAGGGCCAGACAGGATGCCAGCCTTCCTCCTCCTACACATCAGGGAGCCTGAGGACCCCCCTGGGCTTGCAGACCCTCCTCAGGCTGGGAGGGCCCTATGCTCCTTCTGCTGGAGACACCTGGCCTATGCTACACATCATCCCTGCTCAGGCTGATGGGGTCAATGAGCCAGTTCCAAACTGGGAAAGTGGAGAAACTGGGCAGTTTTATTGATGAGGGTCAGGTACGTGGGCGGGACAAGACCCGAGCCCAAGCTTTATGCTTCTCCTCTGGCCTCGGTGCAAACTTCTCCTGGAGTTTCTTCCACACGCTCTTATCCAGCTCCTGGAACTCTTCCATGGTGTCTGAACAGGGAGAGACAGAACGCTGACATCATAGGGCTGTCTCCAGAAGAGTACACTTTGCTTTCTATGTGCCCCAGGCACTGGGTCTGTATAGTGAGAGGCAGTTCCCGATGGCCATAGCGAAACTTCACTGGCGGTGACGGGACACACGCACAAGGGTTACCTGAGCATCACACATTACTTCCTGCCCTACTCCACATGAACTGGCAAAGAAATGGCCCTAACTTTCTTCTCAAGCTGGGCCCACTTTACACGAGCTGCTGGCACTGAGGCAAGCCCCTGGCTCCTGAAGCATCAAGATGAGGAGCTGCCAGACTCAGCAGTGTGCGGGGGGGGGGGGGGGGGGGGGGGGGGAGATGAGTGCCCCCCAATCCCTGAACCCTTGCAACCTTGAGTTCCACTGTAAAACGAGGACAAGACCACAAACCTTCCATGCTGGGTTTGTGGCAAGCAGGGTGGGAATAAGCAGAGCCCTGGGCGGAAAGGGCACCCTTCACAGTGGTGACAGTGTATGTGTGTGTATGCAGAGAGCCATGTTCAAGAACCACACATGACGCAGGCAGATCTCTGGGAGTTTGAGGCCAGTGTGGTCTACAGAGTGAGTTCCAGGACAGCCAGGGCTGCACAGAGAAACCCTGTCTTGACCCTCCACCCCCACCACACACACTCTGTACATCCGACAGCACACACAGGACACCCGACAGCACTCTGGCCTCTATCCACCAACTGTGAGAACCACAAGTGTCTCCAGACATGGCTCTTATCTATGGGACACAGAACGTCTCCTAGCAGAGAGCTAGTAGTCCAAGGACTCTAAGGGCCCGTGACATCTCATTTTATAATTCACAGATATTAAACTTAGACACCACCATGGTACTGCTTAGCTTTCAGGGGCTCCATTTTAACAAAAGCGCTGGCTTGGGGCACTGTGGGGCAGCCACCAGCACAGTCTATCACCCTTTGACTTTTACGAAGTCCAGATGCCCAAACAAGGCACAAAGTGTGACACTGGGATCCCTGCCCTCCTACACACTAAGGTCTGGCTGGTTCTATGTGCTCGTGGATCCTTGTTGCGGTGGTGCTGGCTCCACACAGTTGCAACCAAACACGAGGCCTGCTGTGCGACCACTGTCAGGGCTCCCTGGGCTCACTAGAAGCCAGACCAGCGGTCACCATGCTGCCTGCCACCCGCCCAGGGGCTTCCTGAGGCCAGCAGAAGGGACAGGCACAAGATCTGGGAACCCGAGTCCATGCTAAGTTCATTCTCAGGACCCCTCACAAAGACACCCCATCACTCCTGGTAATGACGTGACCAGGATGTGGGGGTAGAGATGCCTGGCCTCACAGCAAAGCCACTCTCCTGAGGCAGACACAGCAGAAAATACAGGTTCCCATCTGCTCAGAAGGTAAGAATTCTAGAAGGTCAAATCTTCACTGCCAAAAGGAAGGAGAAATTTCTAGAGTACCAGACAGCCAACGTTTCAGGGCCATGCCCTCCCAGGAAAGGTTAGCCTATTTTTATATACAATATCCTTGGCAGTAAAAAATAGCAATTTTCCAGGACTTACCTGCTCTGACCATGCCCCCACCCCTGCCACCCCTTTCAGTGACAATGGAAATGGGAAGTAGGGAGGGGCTAACTGGCAGGGGCTTCCTTCCTGCCAACTGGGTTCTAGCCATGACTCCTAAACAGACCTTGTTAGACGCATATGGAACCTGCAGACCACATCCCCTGGGACAGATAACTCACAGGCGGATATCCCCATACTCATTTACTGAATGGCTTTTTGTTTTAATTAAAAGCCTCATTGTTTATAAAGCCCCCTTAGGACCATAAAAATAAAATTATTTTCCTTCCATCCTGATTCCAATGACTTCCATTTGGCAAATATGTAGTCCCTTGTTCCCAGGCACCAGCCTTGAATTGAAAGTACTAAAGATGATTTTCTCTAAGTAATACCTTTGACCTTTTCCATACTCTGAGGCTTAAACATATGAGCCCTGGAGCTTCAAGGCTTCCCGTCATGCAAAACTGTCTTCTCAGGCAATCCTCCTAACCCTTCAAGCTCACAGCCAGCCAACCAACCAGGGAGGGCACTCATGCCTCCTACCTGTGGACAGGATCACCTTGTATTCTTCCACGGACAGGCCACTGAAGCTGGTGTCTCTGGGGCGAGGGTACTGGCGCAGGAGCAGGAGAGAAGGGACACATTAATTCTTCAGGACACTGGCTTGCTCTGGCTGGCTGCAATTTACCTGGGCCCTAGGGGCTGGAGGCCACAGCCCTGATGATGAGATGAGCAGCGCCACCTAGAGGCCAGGACTCTGTATTTCTAACTACTAGCTTTCAGGTGACCCGTACAGTGCTGCTCAGTCAATGGCATTTGGAAGGAAACCTCTTGCACACAGGCACTTCCTTTTGGCCAAGTCTATTTGTGGAGCTACTAATATATTTTTCAAGTCTGGAAAAACCACACTACATGCATTTGGACAGTAATCACGTCAAGGCTGAGGAGGAACAGAGCTTGGTGTGACAGGACTGTCCCAGCTCTCCATCTTTACCGGCATGTGACATCAATTCCATCATCGAGTGGGAAAACACGCTCGTGCACAGGAGCCATGGCTTTTATCCAGCAGACCTTTGAAGGCCTCTGCCAGGCACCATTGTTGGATTAGCTTAAGGTATGGGTTACATATGAAACACAATTTACAAAACACCATATAATCAGTTTTACCCCGTTCTGATTGGCCCTCCAACTGGAGGCGGAGGGGAGGGGAGGGGGGCAAAGCCTTCGCCCCTCACTCACCTTGTGTTTGTAGTAGTTTGAATGCAGTCGTGCTAAGCTTTCATACATCTGGTCACAGGCCTCAGGTTCTGCCACCTGAAAGACAGGGTGCCCCAGGGAAGTGAGCGGAGGAGGTGGGCCCCCACGTTGCACCTACAATAATGCATCAGAGGAGGGCACTGGAGTCCCAGCGCTGTGGGAAGCAAACCCCTCTCCAGCTCCAGCTGAGGAGCCCCCTCAGTGGATGAAGAGCCCCCCTCACCTGCCCCCAATCTGCAGGACCAATCTGAAAAGCCCCTAACAAGCAGACAAATGTTCAGCAGTTCTCTGCACCTGGGAGCCACCATGTCAGCTGCAGGTTACAAAGGACATGCTGGGGGCAGTGTGGGCTCCAGGGACCCAGAAAGAAGCTCAGAGATGGCAGGGAGGAAGGCCAGCCCTCTGGCTGGAAGGGGCCATGTGAATGGGGAGATGGTATGGCAGGGTGTTGCCATGGAGGCTGCAGAGCACCTGGATCTGCCTGAGCCCAGGAACATGAGAAGGAGAAAGAAAGCAAGCTCTGTGAAATGGGGTCAGTATGAAGTGGATTCAATATTCTTTTATGAAAAACCAAACAACAAATGAATAAATGAAACCTCCAGCCCTTTCACCTCTAAGCAAGGAGCTGCTAAGACTACAAGGGAGAAAGCCAGCCGGGGTTCAAGGCACCCCTGCAGCCCCAGCACTTGGGCAGGGGAGTGTGAGGTCAGTCTGGGCTACATGGAGAGCTCTAGCCGCCCCTGGCCTGTAGAGGGGACACTGTCTCGAGAGGAAAGGAGGCCATGTTACAAAACTGGTGAACCAAGCAGGCCCAAGGCAGACTGCAGCTGTGCGCAGTCAGGAAGATGGCACGGAGCACACAGACGAGGGGAGCAAGGAGAAAACACCCAGAAGGGAGGCAGGCCTCTGCTGGGAAGATGGGTTTCTGCCTTTCAGACAGCTCATCGTTAACTCTTTCTTTCCTCCAGCCTTGCCACTTGTCCATATAGCTCATTACATTCCTCTGCCAGGAATTCCAAAAGCTCCCAGAACAAAACTCTTTTATAGTTTCCCCAGAACTCAAATGATGGCTTTTTTCTGACTTAAATCTTGTCTTGAAGAGCAAGCATATAAATAAATCAGGAGGTAAGCATTTCAGCGAGACAGCCCTCTTCTGTCTGTGCATCAAATGAGGTCCCAGCGCTCAGCCAACACAGCCCCAGACCTGCTTTCCTTTCTACCAGCTGTGCCCCTGCTCTGTCCAGGAAGTCACCTGGACAGAGAGGGCTGTAGGCAGAGTAGAGACTGGGGGCAGCTACACGACAAAGACATTAATTACAGGGTATAAAACGGGGAGAACTGTGGGGCTAGCATCTCCCTGGCAGTTCTCCCCACAAGGCCAGCAGCCATGCTATCCAGGGAGGGAGTACTTGGCTCACTGATCCTTTTGTGGGGGGGGAGTGCAGACAGGGTCTCTGTGTAGTTCTGGAAGTCACTGTGTAGA